CCCGTGTCAATTTGTGCGCGAACAGTGGAGGAGATGTTYGAAGTGTATACGGTAGGCGGTGGTATGGGATGTGTCGTGGATGTAGTGGAGTGAACGTTGACAACGTTTAGTGAGGAGGGAGAAGTTGGTTCGTATGGAGTATCAGGTCCTTTCTCAGTTTTGAGTGAAAAGGCATGATGCGGATACGTCGGGACCTTTGTCTTGGATGTATTAGTCGGGGATGAGGTATCGCATACAGTGTAGTAGGAGGGAATGAAGTGCATATGCATAATGTGCAGTGCATTTAGCATATGAAGGACAGGATTTGTTGACGGAAAATGGGAAGGGCAAGGATCGTCCGATTTTATCGTCCGCCCTGGACAAAATCCATGTCAGCATCATCGGTTGAGTGAGGTTGATTTTCAACGCTGTCAACTATGAGTTGTGTGTCTTCAATCGGTGATGATGCTTGGATTTGATTAACCAAAGCGTTTGCTTTGTTCAAAGTATTTTGTGCTCGTTTGTACATTTGGCAAAAGTTGATAAAGTTTTGACGAAGTAAATTCGATTGTTGTAGGATTGGACAATGTTCAAAGGTATGGTTTGATGTTTGTCCAGTCATCATGTTGCAAACGAGGCATTGTTTATTGAACGAAGCAGGATTGGCTTTGATTTGGTTAATCGACATAGAGTAGGCGAGGTCGAGGAAGTCATCGTCGACGTCGATTGTCTGTATTTGATTAACCGAAACTGTTTTTGTCGCAGGTGCAAATGGCTTCGAAGGCTGAACGTATGGGTTGAGTTTTCGGAGTTGGTTTCGTTGCGATGATTGTGGGACAGCTGGACTGTTTGGAAGATTCAAATATTGTTGCAGAGTGGCCAAGAAGTTTGAGGGCTCGAATTTGTGTTTGAGATGCGTAAAGTCCTGTTCACGGCGAATTTCGGTTTGAAGGAAGGACGAGTAGTTACAACCGCTGACGAAATGTTCTCGTTCAGTTTTATTGTAGACTGTTTGCTTGTTATTTTCGACTAATGCACGGAGCATGATGTAGTGGTTGTATTTCTTCCAATATTCCATGAGGGACAGTGAACCTTGAGTAGGGCGCGTCGTAACTAGTGACGACGGAGATACCATTAGGAATGGATGTGTTGCACATATGATCGCTTTTAATGCTTTGTAGCCGTGTCCATTGTAGATTTTGACGATTTGTCGAAATTTATTATGGGAGGTACAAGCTATGTGGAGGACGTCCCAGATGATTTGAGAGTCGGTAGATATGAGCGTTTTGAATGTCGAATGGAGATCATCGTGGTCGTCTTTACCGATGGTGAAACCTCGTGGGTGGTTGCAGTCGGGACGAAAGCATGGATATGGGTGGCAGTATTTACCATAGCGGGCGCAATGGGAGGTGAAAACCGTGTACCAATTATAAAGTTTGTAAGATGTTTCGCCTGTCATCTTATTGACGTTGTTGCGAAAGTTCTTTTCACTTTGTGGTCCGAGGTCTGCGAGTACGAAGTATGAACCATCTCTTGTGACAAAACCGGATGCCGAGTTGTGTTTATCTTGAGCGTAGTTGCGTAGGTTATGGGGAACGCTTGCGATGTCGAGGAGTTGGGACAAGGTGTCGCTGGTAGCTATGGAACATGTATGTGACTTTGTTGAAGTCGTATCGCATTTGAATACCATTAGAGAAGTTCATGGGGATGAATGGGTTGATACCGCTTGCGGGCGTCTTCGTCACTTTTCTAGGGGCAAGATGCTTGATTGTGTCAGCTGTTTTACTCAAGATGTCGTTGTTTTGTTTGAAAAGGGCAACGAGGGCAGGGTTGGTAGGTGTCGTTCCAGTTGTAGGTGGAGGAGGTGGTGGGACGATGGTTGGATCGGTAGGTGGAAAGGGGATTTCGCCGAAGAGTGCGAAATTGAATACGTTTTTGGTTGGCATTCGATTGTCGATGTAGAAGGGCGACCAGTTGATGTAAAAGACGAGTACGTTTGGTTGAGCGGTTTTCGGTGCATAGTTTAAAGCGCGGTCGAGGTTGCTTCCTTTAACGTGCGCGAGTTTGTCCTTTGCGATTTCGACAAGGAGTTGCGTCTTTTCGGTGATTAGCATCTTGATACGAGATTTGTCAGTCGTGTTATATGCGTTGTGTTCAATGTGTTCAATGATATGTTCAAGCACCTTTGGGACAAATTGGCCGACGTCGGCAAAGGCATCTTGGGTCTTGTTGAGGTAGTCGACGAAGTCGCTGGTGAATCCATATGCTGTGTTCATTGGTTCAGTCAGTTCAGGATAACTGTCGTGTTTAAGGAAAACGGCATGAATGGAGTCAATGTCGGGGTGGAAGGGGCACTTCGAAGTTTTGCTGCTTCGGGTAATAGTCATGTTGATATTTGTCGATCGATGTGACGATGGAAGTATAAAATATATTTCTGATTCGGATCGAAGGAGATATATTTTATGATGAATTTTGCGAAGCGAGTCGAAGTGCAATGTTATCGTAAAAGTGCGGTGTTTGTGAGAAGCTTGAATTTTGTTCGGGATTGAGGTTTTACGGTAACGTGGGATGGACGCGGGACGTGAAGTGGTCGCGCGTAACGCGGGATGGTCGCGTTGTGGGAGTGAAGGATTTATTAGTGGTACGCGCGGATGCACGTGTGGGATTTATTTTATATTGTTGTGGGAATAAAAAATAGAAACGGGTTTGTCGTTGCCGAAAAAGTTTTGTTGGTCGTAAAGAAAATTAGTGAAAAGATTTCGGAAATTTTAAGGTGCGAGAAAACGTCGTGAGCGGCGACAATGGCGATCGTTTCGAAATTAGTAATTTTGAGAACAATGGCGTTGACAAGGCGTGTGCGTTGTCGATGACGGTGTTAGTGACAATGCAAAAGCGTTGTCGAAGACGATGGTAGTGACAATGCGAAAGCGTTGTCGAAGACGATGGTAGTGACAATGCAAAAGCGTTGTCGAAGACGATGGTATTGACAAATGCGAAAGCGTTGTCGAAGACGATGGCGGCGATGAGCGCTTGCGCCGTCGATGCGTTGTTCAAAGGTGTGTGTCGACGTTACGTCGGTAGAGTTTGTATTAAGGAGAGAGCACACCTAAAAAATTATCACCATGGTGGTGATTAATTTTTATGGAAGGGTGTCATAACCTGTGGGAGAGACTGTCCTAATAGTGATGTAAAATGTGTGCTAGTAGAAAAGTGAGTCGATGCTCTTATCAAGGATCGACAAACTATGAAATCTAGAATGGATCGCTGTGGGGATCGAGTGAGATGCGAATCGAGCGAGTCAAGTCACTCACGCAAGTGAATGAAATGAGTCACGTCGATGATATGAATCCTAGGGGATCGCGTGAGTCATATATGTATGGTGTGTATGAATCGTAGATACGTATCGTATGTATGAGTTGTATGTATGAATCATACCCACGGTCTGATATCCTACGGACAACATTCTTATTATTCTGATCTACTGACATCTTTGTTCCGTGCGAGGTATTCTATTTCTGATATCGTGGACCCATTACGTATTCGGTGTTCGGTCCTCTTACGATGCTTCCTATGATACATACCTAGGAAGCTTACCTTACGATAGGTATGTAGGAATGGTATGATCCTTCATTCCTTTCTTCGGAGCTTCGTATCGTATACGTACGTATCCTTCTAATACAGTACGT